TGATGAATGGGCTGCACGTAAGGAGACGTAATTGATAATTCTCTCGAATATCCTGGTAAATACACTTTGACTTAAGTAACAATAGGGGCCACCAAACGACGTATAATAACTTTTGACTCAAAAACCAGTATTTCTTAGCATGAAAGCTAGCGATTTGCTTTTGTATGATTAAAACCCGGCTAAATATGTTAAACATTGCTATCACTATGAGATTATATGTGTTTAATTGGAAATAGGAATAACTTTTCGGTCTTCAAAACAAAACTTTATTTTTCTCGGATCGGTGCGAATGTTACTTACGACATAATGAAAATTTGCTCTTGAATAATGATTGGGATAAATCTGTTTACAATCTTTAAACCTCAAAAATCAAAGGAAGCTATTCCAATGAGATATGAGATTTACATGTTTTCCTATACTGCAAAGTTAAATGACAGTCCAATAGTTTCTACATATCTGTTTACACGCGACATATCAACAAACTTCAAAAATCGTTAAAAGCAATTCAATAAAATATACATGATTATCTTATAAGATATATCTTTTAGTGAGCAATATTCATCATGAAAACAGGTATATTGTACTGAATTTTCTCATAATGCAAACTTATATGATTTTCCATTAGTTTCTAGATGTCTGTTCCCACATATATCAACATGACATATCAACAATTTTTCACCATGAAATATATCAGACAATATTCATATACTTTTTACCTATCGCTAACCACGTTCGAAGCAAAGTATTATCAAGTACAAAGTATGTGAAATTACGATAGAAATCATTCCATATCGCAGTCATAGTTTTTAAGTGATAATACAATGGAATCTATCAATCATCACGTAGAATGAATAAATCTGCTGACATTGCTATGTTATAAGATGGATCCAGTAAAAGGTATATGTCGATTTGTTTCAGTGTACCCATCACAGTTGAAAGATATTCATGGCGGTAAGCTCCAACTCGGATTAACTTTTAATACCGTCCCTGTTTGTATGATCTGAAAAATGTTTGCTCAGAATTATGTTGATTAACTCTGATGTCGACATCAAACCAGCCGGACATTCTTGATCGGGATTTAATCCGAGGATAATACTAGAGTCGGTGTATAATGAGTCACGCCAAGAGAAAAACAGTTGAACTCGCATCACGGTTTTTGAACGATTCCCTTTCTTTTAACTTGGCAACAGAGGACTTCTGCATCAACTTCAAATGACTTCTAGCGAGGAAAAACATTAACGGCTGTAGTAAATCATTATATTATCAGGGATTTTGTCGAATTATCTTAAAGAAAAATAGTAGAAATCGTCATTACTGATCATAACAAAACGTATCGCATGACAATGTAATGCTCACTGCGTGTATATGATCATTTCTTCGATTATATTTTATATTTAATTGCAATACCTTTCGTGGACCTTTCATTGCATCGTAATGCTTGTTTACTTTGCACGATAGGTAGCCGGTTTGACAGTTCAATAGGTAGACTTGGCTTCACTCTTGGCGTGACTCATTATAAACCGACTCTACACAGCAAAAAAAAATGTAATATCGATTAACGTAATTCAAGCTGATGTATTAAATAATGATGTAATAGCAAAAAGCAGATACAATATTACATCATAGATGTAATTTTGTTCGCAAAATCGATGTACATCGTACAATGTGATATTACACAACCGATGGATTGACCTGGTTGCAGCAGTTTCGATGTAATATTCAACAACTTTTTTTGCTGTGTAGATAATACCGGTTGGAGCTTACCACCATCAATGTGTTATGTCTGTTTGTCTGTGTTGCCAGTTTTACCAAATACACGGTAACCGCAAAATACCCAATAATGACTACAAAGTAAGCATTTTCTAGGGAAACTGGAACTACCCATTAAATGAGTAAAATTTTACCCATTTATGAATAATTACAACTACAAAAACAAGTAGTGAGCATTCATTTTTGAGTAACAAAATAAATATAAATAAACTCATAAATGGGTAATATTTTTACTCATTTAATGGGTAGTCCCAGTCTCCCTCGAAAATGCTTACTTTTTAGTCATTATTGGGTATTTTGCGGTTACCGTGTATTGAATTTTAGCGAAGACAACAAATCAAGAAGACTGGCAACTCTTCCATTTTCTCATACACAGAGAAAAAAAATTACCCTAAATTTAAGTTCTTTTGCTTAATTTTGGGTAATTTTGAGTTTTGCATCCCACTCTCACTTTTTGCTGTTGTCAAAAACGGAACGAGAGATTCGACTTTCTCATGACTATCGATTCAATAAGCTACTAATCCCTCCCCATGGACATGGAGGTTGACGGTATGACGCAAAGGGTTATGTTTAATTTCTTTATATTTGCAACCGAGTTTGCAACGATGATGATTTCCTACACACAAAGAAAAATCGTTGCTAAAATTAAAAAAAACCATTGTTATAATTAAAAGTTTGCATTGGTTCTTTTTGGTAGAAAGCAGTTAGCTTTCAAAACGAAAGTCAATCAACTGTCAATTCAAAAAAAATTCGGCCATACATTTTAAAAGCTTAAACTTTCAAAACGAATTGTATTACTGTCAAATGAAAAGCCAGACAGTGTTGAAAGAAAAGTATATTTTTTTCTAATTCAAATCAAACTTTTAAAATGACATGTGGTATTTTCAATCGTAAAATTAAATATTTTCAGTTAAAAAAACCATTATTTTCAATTTATTCACGTCGCTTTACATTTTAAATTCTAATATGTGTTTTTGTCACTGCCAAAAGCTACTTTCTTCTCTGATTAGAGAGTCTTTCGCTTTTGTGACACCTATGCCAAAAAACTGCTTCTTGAAGTTACTTTTTTCTCCGTTAGGAGAGAAGTTTTCACTTCTATGGATCGAGAGTTTTTCGGATTCAATGAAGAACCTGGAGTAAGCTTCGAACTTAACTTTATTTTCAATTTCTGTTCAAAGTGATCTTAGGTCTACGTATTGCATAAGTGATTTATAATTATGTAAAAATCTTTCCTGTTCTTACGGAATTTTCCATGTCCCTTTTAATACCGGGCCTTTCACTAGTTTCCTAACTTTAAGCTGAAAAAATGCCACTTGTCCTTCAAAGGGCTAACTTATATATTGAGTCCTTATGTACTATGTCCTTTTCAGAACCGGGATTTGGTCATCATTTTTCTAAGCTTATTGGTTTATTTTACTCAGGTCTGAAAAGGTTAACAAATAAGAATTTGAAACATTTGTAGCGCTTAAACAGTAAATCATATCCTTCCTTAAGGATAAACCGAGAGGGAAAATTATGCCTTGGTATACGCACGTGGGCGTGTTATTCTTCACTCGAAAGCATGAGCGTTCCTAGATAAATAGTGCAGGCATATTATGTAAACGAGCGATCGTTTTTGTTTTACCCTACTTTTCATTTCATTTTCTTGAAACTGGTATCGACATCAACGGACCTTGTGCAACTATGTGGATTTGCTTATGGCTTTGATCTGTAGATTAATTGTCTCGCGGTAACAGTTTTTATTTGGTTAATACATAGATCCAGACATATTTTTATCACTTGACATCAATAACAATAACAATAAATCATTATGACTACCCGATTTTCAAAAACGTCGTGGCGGTGGGTGGCTTCCTTCTGGACATCAGTCACTGATTTGGCAAATGGGGAACTATTTTATTTGATGCGCTATTTGTTGTTGAAAAACTGAGGCAAATATGTGATTACTGCGGAATTCCCAGCACCGAGTTGAAGACTCGGTTGAACAACACATGCTGATGTCGTTGCTGCACTACGTTGATCACGTACATGATAAATCCTCCATCACACACAAGGGGAACAAAACAGGCATCTGTGGTGGAAACATTCGAATCGGCGGAACACCCGTAAATCGAAAATATTCAGCCGATGATGCCGTATCGGTCATGGGTTGATTTTCCATATCGGGAGATCGAACCAGAGCGTTAGACTGGGTTATTTGTAAGAATGAGTTCCGTTCCACTGAAAATTACAATCAAGTTTGAACAACTCTTGAGGTAATGTCCTGGATAATGTAATGCATAATTACCTGGATACTAGATGAATTCAATCCGTTGAGTAAAGTTGGTCCAAATCTGGTGCTCTGAACTATGATGAAGTCCAACATTGGCCCTGCGAAACATCTTCAAGAATGTCGGAAGCTGAAAGCGATAATCTGCATCCCGGTTAGCTTTCCGGTTCCGGTTCTGCAAAATTAAAATAATGAAAATTATATATGCGATCATTCCCAAAAATTCTCACCTTAATTATTTTCTGCCTGGTAAATCCGGTGGAAGCTGGGGTGGAAGCAAAGTGAGTAAAGTGTAAACTCCATTTCCATTCAATTGGAAGCTGCTTCGCCTTGTTTTGTGTCGCTCGTCATATTTAGCGCCAAACCGAAGTCCAGTACTGCCAAAAACATCGCAATGAAGAGGTATTTTTGACAGTTCAACAACTTTTATTTCAAAAAATCACTTTTAAAATTACGAGTCGAAAAGTAAAAGAAACACTTTTAAACCAAAAAAATAACTTTCGTTTTGAATATTTTCAATGTTAAAACTACACAATTTGGAAAACTTTTAATTTAAAATTACATTATTTTTATAGCAACAATATTTGTTCTTTGTGTGTAGTTACCCCTTTCTGATGATGTTGTTGGTTTGCGTGGGTGTACTTTGGTTCGCGTGTAAAGGGCCTTAGAAAGTTTGTTTACAAATGCTTTTGTGCCGTTATCAAATGTTATGCCTGATTGGTCTATTTGAAAAGTGACGCGAGGAATGGGCTTTGGAACGGTTTGTGTACAAATGATGATGGGCCCTTTTCTATTGTTGATCCAGAATTCATTGACCTTCGAGCAGACGCAGCCAAAACACTTACTCTGATGGTCACCCTATAGAAAAGTGTCATGGTGTTATGTTTACATCAGACACTGTGGGTCGATGCAGTTAATATTTGGAAACTATTTCCTAAATCAGATTCCTGAAACACATCTGCCACAGAAACAAACCGTACGCAAATCGGTCGAAATCCCACAATGGCGGGACACAAAACCGGCGCCGAATGGGAGAAAATAGCCCACGAAATCGAGGATGACAAAAGGGACGAAATCGAAACGCTAGAAGATTTGGAAGAGAAAATGCGCAACACTCCAAAGGGGATGTTCGTCAGCGGATGGGACGATCCGGACGAGCTGATCGAGGAGGACAACGATCCGAAGGGTAAGATTCTTTTGTTTTCGTCTTATGTATAAGTAAATCATTCACAACGATTCTAGCATCTTTGGAGCGATTGGCTTTGTGGGCTGCAGGTGAGAACAAGCTGGAAGTGCTCGAAGAAGTCATTGGCAAGAAGCCATCGATTGTCAATGTCATTGATAGCGACGGTTACACTCCGCTGCATAAGGCGTGCTACAACAACAACGTAGAAATGGCCAAGCTGCTGCTGAGACATGGAGCCAATCTGGAAGCACGGACCGAACTGGGTTGGACACCGTTGCATTCGGCTTGCAAGTGGAACAATGCCGAATGCGTTGCCCTGTTGCTCCAACATGGTGCGGACATTAATGCCCATTCGCAGGGAGATCAAACACCGTTGCACATTACCGCCACAGTTTCCAACTGTCGAAGCACGCTGGTTACGCTGCTAATGGACGATCGAGTCAAGCCCGGTTTGCTTAATAATTCCGAGGAAACGGCTGCCGACATTGCTAAGAGGGGTGGAATGTCATATCCAATGTTTGCAATGGCACAATCGGCCTTGACGGTGGAAACGGGATTGTTAGATTAGATTAAGGTAAAGGGTAAGTAGAATTAACTTTTAAGATGTTGGGAAGCAATACATTTGTAATGATTCAACCTCAAGGAGACTCAATTTAGAATGATTTGGCGGAAGTAGTGGTTGTCACGGCCCTAAGAAAAACGGGTTTGTTAGGGGCAGTCTTATGACAAATCCTAGATGTATTTTTCTCAGAAAAGCGATTACAAAATTTCTAACTGCATTTAAATGCTTGCACATGTATGAACAGTTTACTGTAACCGTAACCGACCTTGGACCAGCTACATTCAGTCAACACGAGCTTTCTTTAGTGATGGCTCGTTAGGATCATAATGAGTACCATTTTCGGCAGCTGCAGCTACTTGCTGCAATAGATCGGCCTTGCTGTGTTTTCCAAACAGTCCCAGGAGCAAAGCAACTCCATATCCGGTGGCCCGTTCGCCGCAATGAACCGGAGATGCCATGTCGACGTGCATCCAGACTCCAGAATACTCAAATCCAAGATGAGCAGCAACGAACAATCCGGCACAGCTGACTTGAGCGTTGCCACGATCCATGACCGAATTCTTCATATCAGCCACCGCAGAGGTGAATTCGGTGAAGTGCAACTCAGGGCAGTAAGGAACGGGCGAGACCAAATCGGCCGTCTTACGACCGACAATCAACGCTTTGTCTTCCCAGCAACCGCTATTGGTTAGAATAGCACCGTGATATTTTCCCGTAGCAATTCCTTGAGCTCCTGTCAAGGTAGCCATATCCAGAATGACCTTTGCCTTCAAGTCTTTGTCCGCGTAGCAGACTCCATCTGCCAGCACTAGACGACCTTCGGCATCGGTGTTGTTAATCTCAACCGTGCATCCAGAGTACAAGCGATGGATATCATCCGGGCGTGTCGAATTAGGTCCAACGGAGTTCTCGGCCAGACAGAAAATGGCATGCAAGTTTTGCTTGAAGCCACTCTTGATGGTGGCATAAAATCCTCCCAGAATGGCAGCGGCTCCACCACAGTCTCGCTTCATGCCAGGCATCGCAGTTTTGCCCTTGATGCTAAGACCACCAGTGTCATAAACAATGCCCTTACCAACCCATGCTACGGTTTCGGTAGCACCTTCTGGCTCATAGGATAGCACTGCCAGAGCTGGGGGATCAGAAGCTGCCTTTCCTACGCCATAAATTCCTCCGAAGCCTTTCTCTCGCAGCTCTTCGCCACGGATAACCTACAACGAATTAATAATTGTTTCATCGTCTAATTTTTATTTTTATTCATCAAAATTCTCACCTTTGGTACCAACTTCAACTCCTTGGCTACGGTTTCGATCTCCTGTAAGAATCCGGACACATTCATCTCATTGCACGGAGCATCGACAATCTTCGCCGTCAGACGTATTCCTCGCGCAGCATACTCGATGACTTTGACATCTTGCTCTGAGAGTTCCTCATTATCCACCAGGACAAACTCCACATTAATTGTTACTAATTCCGCTGCACCCGAACCGCCAACCTTGCTCGTCTTCCTGTTGTACAAAGGAAAAGCCCGGGCCACGGCACATCCGGAAGCAAATAGACTATCCTTCTCGCAAACCACCACAATTGATTCGTTCACTCCGGACGTGTTCGTTTGGACCAACTTGGTCAGAGCGTGCGCCCTCGATTCGGAGTTATGCCGGGAAGCCTTGGTAGGCAGGGCGGCAACTTTGGCCAAATCCAAATACAGCGAACAGGTATCCGTCGGTGCCGGATGCAGATAGGTAATGGCCTTTGTGAAGGTTTCCAGCGAAACGCGGGGCTCCAACTTACAGCGGACTCGGTCGAACGAAAGGTCACCCAGATGACGCTGCTGGCCGATGATCAGCACAGGTGACTGGTGCGGATCAGACGGCTGAAGCTTCCGGTGGAAGCGTAGTTTGCTCATCACGAGGTGTGCGAATTCCTTCAATTAATGTTTATCACTATCACTGTACCTATTGAACGATTGATTGATGATGGGATTACCTAGAAAAGCTTTTATCTCCGAGGAAGCAGCGAGCGGCCAATGAAAATGCAGATTTTTGATGCACCCGTTGCAAAAATGCAACGCCGGTGCTTGACGTTTCAATAAAAACGCAGCTGCGTGCGGAATATCGACAACAAAAAAAATCATTGGCTGCGTGCCTTTTTTTTTAATTTGCACTGAGCGAATTCACCATGCTGTCATTGCATGATTAATCATTTAGACCCAAAAAAAAAATAATTATAATAAAACAACGAAATTTCAATGATTTTCACTGTTGAATTTCATGTACATTAAAATTTATTGTTGAATTATTGTACAAGAGAAAAAATAAATTTCGATTTTTAAAGATACAATCACAGACAAACAGACATAACACTCGCAAGTTGTTGATCGAACAAGCATTTAACGAACAATTTAAAAGTATTGTAGTTGGTAGTACCGCCACCTGTACTCAATTCCCTTGCGTTTGACGTTTACACACTACCGCCATCTGTTCAGCGTAGTGCCCACCACAGTGTACTCTACAGATGGTGGTAATGTTTTAGCGACGATGTTTTACAGTGAGAAATATTCAATGTGTTATGTCTGTTTGTCTATGATACAATGCTCAAACAATAAAAATTAGTGTGATGAGATCAAATTTGTTCCAGAAAAATCACTTTTTTTTATTGTTAAGATGCTTAACAACCCCCTTGTTTACTGTAAATTTCTCACATACCATGTTTTTCATTGTTGTGAACCATGAATTTCGTTGTGATTTTATTTAAATGGAAAAAAATGTCCAATATTTTGACATTGTTAGAATGACAATGAAAATCATTGTATTTTTATTGAATTTTTTTTACGGGGAGCTATCCGATTTCTTTAACATTGAAAATAATATGAGATATCCGATTGGCTGATGATTGACATTAAATGGGATGATTCATCATACATATCATAAAAATATCAACAACACCGTTCAAATTTTGAAAGGTATTAACAATAAATGAATTCAAGAACAGAATTGAAGCAAAATCGTTCAAATCATACAACAACTGGCATGCGATTCATTTTCATATCGTTTCAGTCTCCCATTACGTTTTGGCCTCGCCATTTTGTATTCGCAGCGCAACAAAATTGTACGCTACAATCGCTACAATGTGTAGCTGCAATTCTTCGCTTCGAACATTCTGGCCGGAAAGCTAAAGAACGTAGTCGGTTTCGAAACGAAGCTGTGGAATGAAATGGATTCACGAGTGTGTGTGAGTGTAGTCGGATAATAGATGGAACATAGGTAACAACGAACGAAATAGGTTTCATGTCGGGACCGAGTGTGTACCCGGGGTTGGTTCACCGGCCCGAAGGCGGAGGAAGAACGTTTTGGGTTTCGACGGCCACGGCTGTCATAACCGGAAGAAGTCTGAGTTTAATGTCTCATCTCGCGTCTCGCCAAAAGGTATGTTCTTCCCTAGGTTCTTCCCATCTTTCTTTCATAAGTAAAGGGTGGCCACTGATCGGGAAATCCGAGAAATAGCTGGGGATTGGACAACAACTTCTAGTAGAATTCGTAAATTTGCATGATTAATGCAAGCATCCTAAAACCACAAACGAAGAAGATTAAGAATATCCAATTGGGTTGTTCAACTCCAAAAATATACCCCAGTCGGAGACGAGCCAGCCAACGGCTGAAAGTCTCCTTAATAAAGATATAAAAAAATATACCGATTTTTATACATCATCTGATGGAGCTTCATTTTCTGAGCACAACAATATTGCTATCGATCGCGTGGACATTCATTTCGAATTTTGAATCGAGATTTAAATTTTTGATCTCTGACACTAAATCTATTCATTGACAGCTCGCTCGCATACAAAGTCCCACTAAGGGGCGCTAAGATAGTGATTTTTGCTAATGTAATCGTACTTATTCAAAATAGTTCAAGTGTACCAAAATTGATGAAATTTTTGATTTCGGTTCCATTAGGAAAACTATTTTGCAGAAAACACTTATTTTTAATATAACTATGCTTATTACAGTTAAATCTACTATGAGTTCAGTATAATTGACTATATGAATGTTAAGCATAGTAATTTTGATAGAAATAATAGTAAAATTAAATGAAATTGTTTGCTGCACAAATCTACACAGCAAAAAAAAAGTAATATAGATCAACGTAATTCGAGCTGATGTATGAAATAATGATATAATATCAAAAAGCATCGCAAAATCGATGTACATCGTACAATGTGATATAACATAAACGATGGATTGACCTGGTTGCAGCAGTTTCGATGTAATATTCAACAACTTTTTTTGTTGTGTAGTTTTCACGTAGCTTCCATTGGAAACGCTCATGATTTTCATCCTTGATCAAATTTAATGGAATTCATCTGAATTTCACATATAATTTCTAGATAAATATTTCACAAGGTCCTACCTGTATTGATCGATTCTCTTCATCGACTTTCTTTTTCGTTAATAACTCAGCTGCAAAACCATTCTCTGGTTTATTTGACGTTTTGGACGCTAGATAAGAAGCTCCTTTATCAAACTATGTAGTAAAATTAGCGTGAAATCTGTTTGCATAGCAGTGGTTATCAAAAGAGAAAGTCGATGAAGAGAATCGATCAAAGCAGATAGGACCAGGCATGGAAAAACATTTGCATTAATTTCGTGCATTCATTAACATTCATTTGCCCCTAACTTTTTTCGTCAACAGAATTCCGCAAAATGATGTATGGAGCTTTTGTAGCTACAAACCAGAGCAAACCGAAGCCACTACTGTTTTTTAGTGAATGTATTTTACATTCACTAAAAAAAAACAGTTACAAGTTATGCTCACTCTAATTCGTGATGCATAAGAGATACAGATTTTAGTTATGAACAAAAGTTGTAGCTAATAACAAAACCTACTAAAGCTCTATACATTATTTTGCAGAATGCTGTTGATGAAAAAAGTTAGAGGTAAATAAATGTTAATGAATGCATGAAATCAATGTCAATGATTCCATGCCTGGATAGGACCATTTGAAATGTTCATCGATATTTATGCGATCACATTAATTTTATATGATTTTTCATATGAATTTCATGGACCTCATAATATTCATTAGATGTTATACATTTTTTGAGTGCTGAACAACCCAATTATCTGAATGTCCCATTTTAGACTCCCCTCGAACGCAACAGTACTCAGCCAGAGCATGATTGACAGCTTATTATGTTGCGAACGAACAAGAGCAACAAAATGAAAACCGCAGATTGCATTTCACTCACACAATCTTGTTTATGCTTTCTGTTTTCGGTTTTCCTTTCGCGTTGCTTGCTGCAGGTGGATTTTCAGCTTCGTGTTCAGCAGCGAGCGAGCAAGCGAGCGCTCATTCAGTCAACAGAAATCATTCGCGTTTGATGGACGGTGGCGGTTCGTAGTTCCATTGACGCGTTGTTGTATCCGATTCTTTTTCTTGGCCCTCCTCGGCGACAGTTTCCCCACTCTTGTGTTGTGAGAAATAAAAATTGATTGTGTGTTTCAACCAGACGAGTAAATTGGTAAAAATTGCTCGGACCGTGTGCGGAGCGCAAATTATTCGGTACTGTTTTTCATTGCTGGGATTATTGTGCTTTTCCCTTGTGAGTGAAATCATCGAAAGAAACCAGAAGCAATTTTTTCGGGGTCGATTGGTGAATAAATCATACACAGCAGTGGAAAAGAAAAATGGAAACATGCGAAAATCGATTGCTGTGATCGTTTGGCCTCAGTACATAACGCCAAAGCGTTGTAAATAAAAATCATTATTTTCCATTCGTAACAGTGACAGTACATATTAAAGTGGCATCTTGCGTGTTTTGATTTTTCTTGAGGCATTTTCCTGGAACGGAGTTGTTCGATCATTAGACGCTGAAAAGTATAGCCGCTGTTGTGAAGTTGAATTCGTGTCGAGGGGTGGAGAAAACCCTCCTTCCGTGTGTGTGTGCCTTTTCCTCAGCTGATCGATTTTTCCTTCATTTTCTCCCCTAGTTTAACAAATTTCAACTTCCATTGTAGAGTGACTAAATTGTGAAATATCAGGAAGGAATAAATTACCCTGAAATTATAGTGGTGCATAAATAGTGCAGCAGAAGTTGATCGATATTCTCAAGACAAAGAGCGAAAATTGAAAATCGGTGTGTCGTAATTCTTGTTTCCTGTGTAATGGAGCAGTAAAATCTTTTATCGGAAGCAGTGAGTGTGAATTCGTGAATGGTCTGGAAATCAACGCCCATCATTCATGCGTTTTTAGTAGTGTGATTGGAATCATTAATAATAACCCCGGATTATCATAAAAAAGTGGAACGTAAACTACAACCAGCTTTGTAACTGAAAGAGAAATACAGGTAAGTGTTTGTATATTCTTGATTTGCATAAATCTTAAGCGTACCTACGCCTCGATATAAATTCAAATCGGTCTCGATTCGGTTCCTCGGATCTTCAACTTCAATTTCATTCATAAGTTTTGTGTTGTTGTTCGATCATCAAGCCCCATACAGGTTCAATCAGTTTTGTTCTGCTTCCTTCTGTACCGCTTCTTACACAACACAGCACACGTCCATACCTACGTATTAAGTGGTGGGGTCGATCTTGGATCGAACCTTATGTGTGGAAGCAAGCCTGATTTTGTAGGTATGTACGTATGCTTCCTACGCAAACATTGTTGGCTACCCCTTCCCGTAACGGGTAGCTTTAACGAAATCTTGAAAAGTTGATTTACAAGTCAGAAGTCTTCGAATGGCGCCGCAGAATCATGGAAATGTCAATCATTTTTTAAGAATTATGTGCTGGAAACTATTCAGTTTCAGCGCTGTTCAGATAATATCGGTTTGAGGAGGCATACTTGTTTTAATTGGATTTTCTGATAGGATTTGGAACCTTCCGTGGGATGGGACATTTTCAGGATTGGCACGACGAACCAATACTAATTTATTGTCAACTAACTGGCGTCAAAATTATCTGATCAGAAAAAGTCTACTTTTTCAAATTACCTATCTATGGCACTCAATGCCTAAACACAAAAATGCAATCATCTAACTTTGTTGTTACTGTTATGTATGCTCTCGTGAAATCTTGGAATAACTATTGGAGAAATGTATCGTGTATTTTTTTAATAATTATTCCCCAAAAAGATTCTATATGAATAATCTTGAGACACCTTCCGTCTATGCAATTCAATCAACGGGCTGGCGCAGATTTTGCGTTTCGCGAGAGTTTTGAGCGTTTTTATAGCTATGTGTGGTTCGGTTTATGCGGAAAGTTTATCACATAAAATGAAACCATTATTATGATAGTATTTTTCTGCAACCAATTCACTTTTTATTCAAGTGGTCATATCAACCGTCAAGAATTTGTCGTTCAGCAAGTTTCTGATTAATATTGTGAATAATAATAACATTTAGAAGTAAGTTTTAACAAGTGTTTGAACAAGATTTTAGTAGATTTCTATTTCTAGATTCTTATAACTATCAGTCGATCTAATCTTTTTTTTTTCCTTGATTTGTTTTCCGCCGATCTTGTTTTCCGTGCTGAGCACCAATGCTACCGACGCCAGGGAGGCAGCTCCTACACCTGTACCCTACCTATCGACCCATCAACTCATGAATCGAGGACCAACGGCTTTACTTCCCTTCCGAAGGAAGGCATGATCAGAGATGTTATGTCTCAGAACATCCCGGCTTTTTCATTTATAGAATTTTTACGTTAAATCCAATTTAATTTTCAGTTAACTCATCATAAAATAGATTAGGTAATGCTAATAATTTCCCTATCAAAATGCAATATGCAAAGGATCAATTAGCTACGCTCTCGAGTGCACCTTCAATGAAAACACTGAGTGTGGTTCTACGTGTAGAAATTTTGCATTTTGATAGGGAGATTAATAGTATTAAACTATCTATTTTACGATGGGTTGAATTCAACTGGATTTTACGTCAGCATTCTAAAATAAAAGGTAATGAAAAAGTCCCAACAAAGCGACCCATCACTGGTGGCATACAGAGTTGAGTTTGAAATAATAATTAGTTGGTTATACTACAGCGTACTTCTGAAACTGCCGGGACTGCCAAGAACTTGAAACATTAAAAAATACAATATCTACCGAAATCCTTCAGAGTGTTCCAAAAGTACCCTGATCTCTGATCTCAAAGTTTTGTTAGCTTCGAAGGCTCCGTAGGTGCCGGAAGTTTAAGAAATTTTCAATTATTATGATTCTTATTAAAAAATATAGTAACTTAAAAATTTCCGGTTTTATTTTCAATTATCAGAGAGATCGTGAATTATCTTCAGTTCCCCGAGTTACTGGGGTTTTATGGGGTTCCCGAAATTGAAGCATTTTTTTTTTAATTCCAGCCTCCAAGCTTCTGGAATATCCGTAAACATTATCAGTTATGAAGGTGACTCTAGAGCTTCGAGGTTATTTCCAAAACACTTTTCGTTGTGATATGAATATAGAATAAATAGATGTTCAAGATCAACATTAAATGTGGTCATGGTCCCTAATGTCAACACTTGTAGTTGTGAATTGTGTGGAGTTATGACCTGTATATAGACTCTGGAAATCACTGAGTTCTATAGAAATCCTGGAATATCCGTACCTATTACCTGGTTTCTTAGATTTTTTTTGTGAATCTCAGATTTATAATATTGTTTGATATTCTGCAGCTACCTATTACGAATGTTAAATAGAGATTTTTTTAATCTCACGCTTAAAATTTATAGATCAACATGTCAAAATTATGTCCCGTTCTAACAATACATTCAAACATCCCAGACTTTTGAATATGTTCACGATCTGCGACATTTCATGATTCTGAATTTTTGTTATTCTATTACTTTACGATTCCTCACAGACTTTGAATAACTGCTACAGTGCCAAGACTCAAGCACCACTACTTGTATAAAATATAGAAAAAGCGAATGATATTATCGAGATACTTAGACAAGCTCTAAGTTCGAGACCAGGGTTGCAAATACTCATTTCAGCTAAAATAATGTTTTCGGAATAATAAAACCAAAAGATGGTATGATGGCATGTTTTACTTGTAACTTACAAGAAGAGGTTACAAAGCATGCGTTTGAAACATAAAACCTGTAAATTTTGCTTTCTATGAGTCACAATCAGCGATTTTCTGATCACTGAGTGAGTGAGTGAGTGTGTGAAAAATCGCTGATTGTGACTCTCATGAAGTGAAATAAACAAGTTTAATATGTCAAACACACTCTTTGCAACCTCTTCTTGTATCTTACCTATTTAAAATATAATCATAGCATCTAACTATTTCATAATTAAAAAAAAAAACATTGTTTCAGCTGAAATGAGTATTTGCAACCTTGTTCGAGACCTCTTATTTTGGCAAATCTCTTGAACTTACTGAGCAACTGAGCCATGCACAGAAAAACAAAACTACCTACCGCTTGGGTTTTTTAAACTCAAATTTGAGTTATTTGACCTCTGCCCGTTTCATTTCCTCTCGCTATTGTTATCAAAAATAGAACGAAAGATTCGACTCAACCGTCTAGTTCCGTACGAGAAGCCAAAATTGAGTAATATGCGATATACCCAAATTTGAGTTAATTGAACTTAATTTTGGGTAGAAAAAATTGAAAATAACTTAGCGATGGGTAATTTTTTTTGCCGGGCTTAAATGCAAACTACTTTGAGCCGGTTTACCCAAATTTGGCTTATCGTACGGAACATGGGAGATGAGTGAAAAGAACTTAATTTTGGGTTGTTTTGAATTTCTGTGTGGAATATTTTTAAGACACTATGCTGAATGCATTTCACTCTTGAGCTGTAAGCCTTTTGGATCATTACAGTATAGCCATTCTGAAGCAAATCAACCACGTGGTTAATGAGAACAATCGTATCTCAGACCTTTGCTTCGTCACCGCTCAGGATACTGCTCCGCATTTGTCTATGGCTGTTTCTCCGTTGATAAAGACTGTTCCACACCATCCTCCTTTAGTTATTGCACTTGAAGGCAACCAAATTCCTGAGGTCAATGTCCAATGTCTGCACGCAAACCAAAAATCTATTACAATGAACGTTGGTTCCGTTTCCTATCATCCTCTGTTCATGAACATCGCAGCGAATGTTAGAAGTTGACCTTACAGGCGATGTAATGGTTTTTTGTCTTTTTCATTTCGTATTCTATCTACGCTTTCGACTATACCAGTAAGCTTGTAGAACGACGCACATTGTAGAACGACGCACACACTTGCCTCGAATCTCTCCAGCAGAAAAAGCATACGAAGTCGAGTATGCGAGAAAATGAGCGCTTCATGTTTGCTTTTAGGCTATCCATATTCAGGAGCATGGAGAGAGCAGTGGAGAAAGCACAGGTCTGATGATCGAAGCGTTCTTGGTTCGAGTCCAGTCGGCAATCGGATTCCTATTTTTTTCGACATAACTTATTTACCTCACTAATACACGAGAAACGCAGTAGGCTCTGCCAGCGAACGGTTGGTTTTGTTTTCGCTAACGCTGATTTCATTTGTTTTTCGCATATTTTTTAATTGTACCAAAGCAAACAAATATCAGTTTTCGCGTGTGGTTAATTGTAAATTAGGATCCATCACGTCTTAAGAAGTTTTTTTAGTGATATTGTAATTAACGTGAAAAATCTGGGACAAAAATTTGTTTCAAGTAGCTGTGTTGTTGTGGTGTCGCATCGGTCGGTTTTTCATTTCGCTTGTTTTTGGTGCTTTGCCTCCCTCACAAGAAGAGTTTTACCGGGCATTTTTTTTCTTTTTTTGGTGCTGGCGTTCTGCCTTCCGGAATGAGGTGTCAAGCAAAAATTCAGTGCAAATGAAAAACTTCGAATGTGATTCAAAATGTCGTGTTGGGTTGTAAAAACAACGCGGAAGATTTTTTCGATTACCGCGAGTGAACAAACCGGTCCTTTTTCGGAGGCAGAATTTGGTGAGATCTATCTGATTTATAATAAATCATAAATGCATATTTCCATATATTACTAAATACGCGCCAGATTTCGAAACATCACATTTCGAAATCTGGAAGTGTGTTTGCAGTACCATTATTCATATGATAACGGTAGTGTTTACATGCGGGGCTTATTGTATGTGAAAGTAACCTCTGAATGGACGTGAATTACCAGGCATTCTTAAATGGGTTGCTGAATCTGCAGTAGAGCTATCGCTTTCTAACTCCCGGACTAAACTTGCTTTAAATTGTTACATCAAGGATTGTTGTAAGCAAATTTCTTCCATAATACCACTGCCGGTCAGTGGGGGTTAGATTGAATACACACACACACACACACACAAACACACACACACACACACACACACACACACACACACACACACACACACACACACACAC